ACGGGGCAGAAGCTTGGTCCGCATTGCTGGTTATAAGTCGGACATGTTCCCAGTGCGGGTTGGGCTCCGCCAGGGCTGCTCTTTGTCATCGATCCTGTTTATAATATTTATGGACAGGATTTCTAGGTGCAGTCAGGGTGTTGAGGGTATCCAGTTTGATGGCCTCAGGATTGCCTCGCTGCTATTTGCAGACGATGTCGTCCTGTTGGCTTCATCTGCTGGGGACCTCCAGCGTGCTCTGGGGCGGTTTGCAGCCGAGTGTGAAGCGGCGGGGATGAGGATTAGCACCTCCAAGTCCGAGACCATGGTTCTCAGCCGGAAACGGGTGGATTGCCCTCTTCGGGTCAGGGAAGACATACTGCCTCAAGTGGAGGAGTAAAAGTATCTCGGGGTCTTGTTCACGAGTGAGGGTAGGTGAGATCGGGAGCTGGATAGATGAATCGGAGCGGCGTCTACAGTTTTGCAGGCGCTTAACTGATTCGTCGTGGCTAAGAAACAACTGAGCCAAAAAACAAAGCTCTCGATCTATTGGTCCATCTTTGTCCCTACCCTCACCTATGGTCATGAGCTATGGATAATGACCGAAAGAATGAGATCGTGAATACAGGCGGCCGAAATGAGGTTTCTCCGCAGGGTGTCTGGGCACTCCCTTAGGGATAGGGTGAGAAGTTTGGATATCCGGGAGAGCCTCAGAGTAGAACCTCCACGTCGAAAGGAGCCAGTTGAGGTGGTTTGGACATCTGGTGCGGATGCCTCCTGGGCGGCTACCCGGAGAGGTTTTCCGTGCATGTCCTACAGGGAGGAGGCCCCGGAGCAGACCCAGGACTCGCTGGAGGGATTATATCTCTCGGCTGGCCTGGGAACGCCTCACCGTCCTCCCCGAGGAGCTGGTAGAGGTAGCTGGGGAGAGGGAGGTCTGGGTATCTCTCCTGAAGCTGCTACCGCCACGACCCGAACCCCGGACAAGCGGAAGATGATGGATGGATGGATGGATGGATGGATAAAAGAAGAATAAAGAAAAAATAGATAAATTAAATACAAAAAAAAATTATAAAAAAAAGGAAAAAAAATAAAATAAGAAAACGGGGGAGATACAGAAACAACAACAATAACAGACATTAATCACCCATGGGGAGAGGGGGAGAAGAAAAAAAAAACAAAGGTATACTGAAATAATAACACTAATAATGTAGTTGGGATGGAGAAAATTAAGTATAGGGGAATACAGAATACAAACAACCATAAGAAACATAACACTCATAACTTAAGGGTTACTTACTAAATTGTATTTCAAATTGAAAAACGAAATTAAAAAATCGTAATTATAATAACACTTGTAGGAATTATTAGCTCAGATAAATTTTAATATCGCCACCAATATGTTTTAAATTAATTAAATTTCAAATTAATTTAATTAATTTGATTATTAACCAATTGTTATGCCGAATGGTTAGCTCCTCTAAACTCAATTGCGGTATCCCCATAAGTCTGTTAATGTGAGACTTAAATGGGATTCACTAATTACCAGTATCGCTTAGTAACCTAGGTTAGAAGGCTC